GGTTCTACACCTTCATTTGAGTCCAGCTGTGTTTGATTATACTGATTGGACTTGATTAGGAAAGCCACACACCTGTCTATATAAGACCTTACAGCTCACAGTGCATGTCAGAGCAAATGAGAATCATGAAGTCAAAGGAACTGCCTGAAGAGCTCAGAGACAGAATTGTGGCAAGGCACAGATCTGGCCAAGGTTACAAAAAAAAATCTTTTTTTAAAAGTTAAAAAAGTTAAAAAATAAAAAAAATTCCTCCATAATCCTTAAATGGAAGACGTTTGGGACGACCAGAACCCTTCCTAGAGCTGGCCGTCCGGCCAAACTGAGATATCGGGGGAGAATAGCCTTGGTGAGAGAAGTAAAGAAGAACCCAAAGATCACTGTGGCTGAGCTCCAGAGATGCAGTCGGGAGATGGAAGAAAGTTGTAGAAAGTAAATATATATATATATATATATATATATATATATATATATATATATATATATATATATATATATATTAGATGAAAAATAAACTTTAAAAAAAAAAAAATGTTGCCTTGCTAACTGAGTTAAGTTTGTTGAAGTATTAAAGTTGAAGTATTAAAATACTTTCTGAAAGCATACTTAAAACTGAAATAAAATGAAATTAAAACTATTTAGAAATAGTACAAATAAAAATGACAAAAGTGCATAAAAATGACTAAATTTAAAATGAAACCTGAAAATATAAATGCTGATTCAAACTGATTGAAACTGATTGGTCTTAGTTGATCTTCCATCTTAGTCTTTTGGTAAAATTGGCCGTTTACTTATGGTTAGATTGGGAAACCATCGTAATCCAGCTAAGACTATCACACATCACTTTAGATGGGGTTTTCAGACTAAATTTGCAACATATGCTTCTCAACTGTAATTATTAAAACTACATTTAAGAATATGATATTTATGGTACCCAGGGTGATAAATAGACAGAAGTTCTTGTATTAAACATATCTACCATTTTGCATACTGCTGTTTAAAATCTTTATAAATGCATATTAATGTCTTCTGTTTTGCACACTATAGGCAGTATCCGATGTGTTTGCACAGTAGTATTCCATTCTGAATATACCCAGACTGTGGTCAAGTTTTGAACACCTTGTAGTTATATGAGTAAGATGCTTTTCCCCAATGTATTTCTCCATGTTTCCTCCCCTCTTATAAAACACAAAAAGAGAACTCGACACCGCCCGGGGTGTGCGGCTGGAGCAGAAGCTCCTTTGTGAGGTTGTTATGTGTGTTCATCGCATTGACCGAGTCTTTGTCTTGTGTGTCACTATGTCATTTTTATTGCCTGTGAGTGTGTCATTAAAGCCTGTGTGTCAGATATAAGTTACATTCTGTCAGTCTATTAAGCTGTTTGAACGACTGACCCTTCTGATTTGTGTGAAGTCATCTGAGATGAACTGTGTATGGCTTCATTCTTAGGAGACGGAGCAGAACAGGGGTGAAGCAGAGGCATTAAGGGTGGCAGACGCCCTTTGTGTGTCGGTCACAATGCTGAAGTGAAAGGAAGCAGGATGCTTAACATGCAAATGAGACGAGCGAGAAGGAGATGTCAGGGAAATCACTCAATGTCACATTAACAAGTGCTCGTTCCATGATGGGGTATTAAATGCTGAGTGTGAGAGTACGGCAGCTGCATCTCGTTCTGTAGCATTTACAAGCAAAAATACCTCTGCCAATCCAGAATGGTCCCAAAGAGATCAGTTCAGACGGAAAAAAAAGATGCTGCTTATTCTAATATGTATATCACTGATTGATTATTTTATCCCATTGACAAATAGCATCTGATCACCCATCAACTGTTTGACATTGTGCATGTTAATGAACTATAATGAGTGGCAGAAATTACCTCACTGTCTCACCAGTAGATTTTGTAGGTATACTTAGAATGGCATACTGTACTGCCATAATTGAAATATAATAAAATAAATGCTTTTTTATTGTTTAAATAATTTATAATAATGAAATATAATTAAATGTAAATATTAAATATATGTTAGAGTTGAAGCATTAAAATTACTACACTAAATTAAACCTAAATAGTAATGTAAAAATACATAAATACAAATAAAAATGACAAAGTGCGTAACAAAATTACTAAAACATGAATCTAAATTTAAAATTTAATGAATGTTTTATTACTATAATAGTATATAAATAATACCAAATTAAAACTTTGTGGAATACTTTATTGCACAATTGAATATACTTGACTTTAATTTCCAGAAGTAATATCAGTTGCAATTTTAAACATCTCTTTCTTGAATCATTGTCTGAATTATGATTAGCCTACTAGCCTACTTCTCTTACTATTTCTATATGGCAGCTGATATTTATTTCAGTTCATCTGTAATGGCCGAAATAGTTAGAGTAGTGTGCTAGTTTGCTCTTCCAAAATCAGCCATTATATATTTAGACTGCCAGATTATTTTATGCACAATTGTATACAATTTCCAAAATAACAGTTTTTATGTCCAAAATGATATCCGGACTCCACTCACTGAATTGTAACATAATGAAGTCATGTGATAAACATCATAGCTGTTTGAAACATTTATGGTTGCTTACAGCACTATTGCACATAAATAAAGCAATAATATGCAGTAGTATGTACTGCACTGTATTCAGTAAGCAGTATGTACTGTATGCTAGTATTCCTTTTCAAATATAGGCTGTCTGACAATCTGTTTTTACTTCTCTGGATCTCCATCTTAAAATCTGCATCCATCTAGTTCTTTCCATCTTTCCATTTAGTATTCTCATTATTTCATTATTCACTCCTGTGCTCAAATCCAAACTCATTTGACTACTTGTCATTTCTTCTCCTTCTTACTTGATTTTCCGTCTTTTTTCACACTTCACATCTCTCTCTTCATCACTGTGATCTGTGTGTCTGCCCATTGGGTTTAGTGTTAAAGTCAATGAGAGAGAAAATTCAGTTTGTGCCTTCATAAGGAATGGCTAAGTTTAGGTCATCATTCTTTCTTCGATACAATTTACAGATATAACTGAGTTTTATTTTATTTATGTTGCTATTCCACTCTGGATTTTTGTAAGAAAGCTATAAATGCTTCTGGGTTGTGCTGCTCATACTTGCTGATCTCATGCCAGTACGGTGGTTTATCCAGTAGTAGCTGATGGTTGAATTAGGGTATGGGAGGCTGTTCCAGGATCAGCTTTAACTTCCTCTTCCTACAGGTCTATAAATATTTTAGATGGTGGTGGGCAATAACCATCCCCATAAATGTTCCCTTCAACTGTCTGTGGTACTTACAGCTCACATTCTTACCAAGGATAAATTCAACTGTACACATTCATTTTCTGGCAGTGAAAGGTCACGCAGGGGGACTGTCAGGGTGACACCTTTCTAAACTCAGTCAAGCAATAAAACTAACTGAGTTCCAGAGATGTAGAATAAAGAAATAGGCCCATGATATTTCTATGAATGTAATCATGCACTGTAAATGCATGCATAAACAATTGAATTCTACACAATATGACTTTTTCAAGAGTCAGTATCTTTATTATTAATAAGTATTTGTTTTAGGTGTGCTACAGAATACAACTAGAAGTACTGCCATTTAAAAAGAAAAAGTGCTGAGAAAAGAAACTCTGAGCATGCGTTTTAAAATTGTTAGACACCGCTGCCCTCTAATGGTTAGATGTAACCTATGTCAGTAGAAATAGCATATTTACTTCTGAAACATTCGTATCACACACAGTTCGAAAGGGTGTCATTTGTTAGACCTATCTTTCTCCAAAGTTTTTGTTGTGGTTGTATTGAAAATACAATTTGTATCCTATAGATGAGTTTTGTTCAAATATCTGATTATCACTGCATAAGAAAAGGGTATAGGTGCAACAGATATTAACAATATGATCCGTCCTGACTTGATGTTTCCCTCGTATGTAGCTAAATTGTGTCACTTATATTGTGTAGGCCTATTCTGTTATTGAAATGTGCAAATACACTGTATTTTTATTTATATTGTTACGTTGTTGTTTTTTTAATTCACTTCATGTAGGCCTAATTCTCTACTTTTTCCTTTGATACCATGCTGGGGAAAAAACAACAACAACAAAAACAGTAGAAGCCATTACAGAAATTCTAATGGTTTCCACTAAAAATACCATCACAAACATTACAAACCATCAATTAACCATTACAACTATTTAAAAATGGTTTCCTGTAGCGTTGGGAAATATTCCATTAGGATTTAGTGGTTTTAAGCTAAAAGGCGACAAATTACAGGCAGAGCCCCACAGTACAGTTTCCATTAAAACCAATACAATACCAATTATAACCAGTAAAACCGTTGCAAATTCTGTGATGGTTTCTATTCTTTTGTTTTTCAGCAGGGTAATGTCATTGTACTTTGCACACATTTTGTGCAAGTTTTTGTCATACTAAAGCACACGCAAATTGAAAGATTAGATTGAGAGATAAATAATGTTCAGAAAATTCGATTTCTATTTATTTTATATTCATTTATTTGGGGTTTGACATTTTTTACAACCCAGTAACCAAAGTTTGTGTTTAAATACCGTTTAAAACCATGATTTGTGTGGTAATTCTAGCAGTATAAATGAAATGAACGTCTAAAAACAAAGTACTCAAATTAAGCTAGAAAGCGCGGCTTGCTTCTGGCCAAGTATTGTTTAGTTATTTGTAACTAAAGTGCTGTAAAAGGCAATAAACACAATATACAGTACATATATCTGCATAGTGAGAAATAAACTTACAGGTTTGGTTCAAATGAATGGGTTTAGTTTTCCCATACAGTCTTTCAGAATAAGGCGGAACCTTTGTTCTTGTGTTTGTTTGCTTCGGATCGATTCTGATGTAACATGCGCATACACACATATTTCTGCGACAATATTAACCATAAATAAATTGCCTATTTGGACTCTCCATTAATACAAGTTGATATGGACATATTATTTCATTAATTTAATGATTTTTTTAAAAAAATGCTTTTGCGCGACGCGGTGCATTTCGGGACTCATGTGGCTTTGATAGACTTGTATAAAGTTTAGTCTAGTGAATGTAAGACCTAGAGAGGGTAGGCTTGCAGTAAAAGGTGTGTGTTTCACTGTTGTGTGTTTTGATTACACGTTCTTAAAGCTTGTCAAAATGCAGCGCATGCATGGCATGTGATATGTCTATTATCTATTTGTGAATTAAATGCTGATATATCTGATTGAATTATGTAAAGACTACAATTCTGGATCCAAGTGGATAGATATGGACCATAGTATTTAATTTAGTCAATCTTAGTTGAAAGATTTAAACTTCAGAAACCATCAAGCAAGCAAATTCAAAATCCCAATGAATGGATGTGACACACGAACTGACTTCAAAAAGCAAAAAAATTGTCATCCTGAGTGAATTGATCTAACACAATGCTGAGGATAAAGGCATTGCCTCTACTTCAGACACATATATCATGTTATCCTTTGGTAGCTCAGAGAGTTCATCAGTTGGCCTCCATCAAACATGTGTGTGTGCTCGCTGAGAGGAGGCGTCAGGGTCTTCTGTACCCCTTCAGCAGTCTGGAGGAGCACCTTTCCTCACAGGTCAGTCAGGAAGAATTCAAGATCTTTCATCCCAGCTTGGAGGAACTCTGTCAGGCAGAGACACCGTTCACTCCCTCCTCTAAACATAGTATTGACTACTCTACCTCTGCGGTCCGGATAGACCATGTACCTCTTCTTAAACAGCCAGAGGTAACATAAGATTGTCTTTAATTGTCATTTGAAATATGATTTCAGTTTACATCTGTGTTGTATGTTTATTTTAGCATTTAAATTCATTTAGATTGCTTTAACATATTAATATGAAATGTATGATATTAATTTTAAATAATTTGAAGTCATCCTGCAGACCCCTGGTTGAGAACCACTGCACTAGACATTTCAAATTGCGTCTCAGGTTTGCTTTGAGTGTTTGTGTGCATTGCAGGTGTGTTTTATGGGCAGAAGCAACGTGGGGAAGTCTTCTCTCATCCGTGCCTTGTTCTCTCTTGCGCCGGATGTAGATGTGCGGGTCTCTAAAACTCCGGTGAGTCTGTATGTCATGGATGTTCTCTGCCGTTCAGTTCTCCATGGTCAGAAATAACTCATTTTCATTCTTTATTTTCACACAGGGCCACACCAAAAAACTAAATTTCTTCACTGTGGGAAAGGCGTTTACTCTTGTAGACATGCCGGGGTATGGACACAATGTCCCACGGGACTTTGTAGAGATGGTTAAACCGTACCTTCAAGAGCGTCACAAGTAGATTGAAGTTGATACTGTTTTGTATTAGCTCACAATACTGATATTTCTTTTTGCATGCTCGTGTTGAGTATAGAAAGTAGTAGATGATAAAGCATGTGTCAGTATATATAAATGACAGAATTCAGTTTTTCTTTCTTTGATTTTCTCATTTATGTGTCTCTAGTCTTGTGAGTACGTTCTTGCTGGTTGATGGAGGTGCAGGTCTGCAGAAGGTGGATTTAGTTGCTGTGGAGATGTGTGAAGAGCTCAATTTGCCGTATGTGGGTTTGTCTCATGCTCTTACTACGATTGTCCAATAGGGGGCGTTGGAGTACTATATGCTGTTATCAGCGTCTCAGTCTAGATCAACCAGAGGGCCACAGCAAACTTCCAAAGGGCATCAAGATAACTTAAAACAAGACAAAATAAAGCATTAACACGAAAACTTTTTCATTTATCTTTTTTTAACCACCTCCTCAACGATTCTTGTTTCATTGAAGAACCAGAGTTACCACTGTGTAGAAAAACCTGAATATATGAGGTAGCCTGATTGTAAAAGTGTGATTTCTAGACCTAGAATAGTAATTACATGTTATTTAATAAAATCTTATAACTCCATGAATTCGATATTTTTACAGTTTTACATTTAGTTTAATGGAGTTCCAATTGTATTATTTGTAGCATTATTTGTTTTAATTTCTTGTAAAATACCCAGTCCTAAAGACTGAGTTTAAAAAAAAATGATTGTAGTGTAAACCAAGCCAAAAGTACTTATTTCAAAGGTTTATGCATCTTTGACTTTCAAACGCACAAGATTATTGTCTCTTCATTGGAAAGAATACATTATGTAGCCTACATATATATATATATATATATATATACATATATTATTTTCCTGAAATACTTGCTCTTGGCATTTATGTCACATTTGTGTGTAATTTTGGGCAGTCACATTTCAGTTAGAAGTCCCGAAGCGTTAGAGCAAGAGCCAACAAAACGCCCTGTCGGGTTCTGTCTATTTTAGTTATCCCCAGCTAAAACAAGACAGAGAGAAACAAATGGTTATTTTTTTGTATTTTATATATATATATATATATATATATATATATATATATATATATATATATATATATATATATATATATATAAGATGCCAAAAAATAACCATTTGTTTCTCTCTGTCTTGTTTTAGCTGGGGATAACTAAAATAGACAGAACCCGACAGGGCGTTTTGTTGGCTCTTGCTCTACAGCTTCGGGACTTCATCAAAAATCAAACCAGCATGTGTTTCCCACAGCCAATTCTAGTGAGGTAAGATGTATAGACACACTCTCTTTTGTAATTTATTTCTATGTAATTATGATAATCATTTTGCATCCAGAAAAGTTTACATATAAAGCTCTTTTGCACTACAAATCATTGTTTTTTGCACTACAATCATTATATCTGCACTGTTGTTTACTTTTACTGGTTTGCACTCTATCTGCCATATGCCTTGTGCTTTATATATATATTTTTTTTACATTTTACCTTATTTGTATATTTGTATAGTTGTATTTTGTATTTTGTATTTTGTATTTAATCTGTACCTATCTGTATTTATGTTATCTGTATGCACCAAGGGTCTGAGAGTAACGCAATTTCAATTCTCTGTGTGTATGTGCTGTACATGTGGAAGAATTGACAATAAAGCAGACTTGACTTGACTTGACTAAACAGAGTTTATCTATGTGAATTTATTTTCTGTTGGTCCAGTCAGTGTTACTATATATTTTCTTTAAAAAAAAAAAAAAGCCGGAAAATATAGAGATGTAATTTAAACTCCAGTAATTCATAAACACACATTTGAAGCACGGTTACATCAATTCTGACAAAACCTAATTTATGTTAGCCAGCTAAATAACATTATCTAGGTGTCAAATCAGCAGATTTTGTAAAAAAAATAAATAAAACATATACATAATTTAGAAAATATCACAAAAAAATCAAACATTTACAAAAGTTTTCTTTTCCAAATGAATGCTGTTCTTTTAAGCTTTACATTCATCAATACATTCTGAAAAGAATGTATAATGATTTCCACAAAAAAAACAGCACAACTTAAAGAGAATATTAATCTAATAACTTAAGAAATGTATATTGAGCAGTGGCTGCTGAAAATGACACTGCTGTGTGTGCGTGCATGTGTGCGTGCGTGTGTGTGTGTGTGTGTGTGTGTGTGTGTGTGTGTGTGTGATATAGTCTGCTACATTGGCCACATCAAGGATTGTTACAACATTCCGGCGGCATTAGAATGTTTTAAGGTATTTCACATGTCATCGTGATGATGTACGTATGAGCAGTGCTGAGCTTATAATGCACACTCATCCTTCGTCACTTCTTTTGGTTTTATGTGAGTGTGTGTATGAGGTACTCTTGATCACCAGCAATTAGATCAAATCTGTTATAAGGATATATCAGTGCTTCTGACTTATAATTTTATTAAAATGAGGAAGGTTTTCTCTGTTAGATGAAAAATGTTAATGTGGTCAGATGGTTATCAACTTGCTGATAAGATAAGGCTAGGGGTTGTGGAAACAGTTGCATTTGCTTTTGTGTGTCAATACAGGAAGTCAGTTTTCACATATAAAGTGATAGGTAACACACATACACTTAACTTTCTTTCTCTCTCCCATCTTCCTTTGACATGCAGTTCAGTCCAGTTCTCTGGGATTTATCTGCTCAAGTGTTTCATAGCACATGTAACAGGAAATCTACAGCTTAACGCTAAACAGTCGTGAGTGTACTGCACTGCCTTTCCACACGTCACAAAGACAAATCTGAGGTCTGGACCCAATGTTATAAAACCAATTTGAAAATGACTGATTTAAGCCATTGAATTGCTGAATCTATGTATTATTTTCAAATGCAGCAGCTAGAATCATATTATTACTGGTTTCAGGATTCATGCAGCTCTGTATAAACTCCCTGAATGATCCAGGAATCAAGTGTATGGTTTAACAACATTTATATTTTAGTGAGATCTTAGGGAATACCCCAAATGCACATTCCTTTCTGTTGCTGTTATTTGTTCTTCTAAATAAAATGACAGAAAGTGTAGCTCTGAATGTTTGTGAGTGACTGTTCAACTTTAAATCTTGCTCATGCCTTTGTAGATTAAACCAAAATGTATCCGCATGATCCGATCAGATCAAGTTCCTGACTAGTTTTTCTGTTAACATAATTACTGTAAACTGTGGTCTATTTGTAGAATGACTTAATTACTGAACCAAGTAAATGGGTTAAACCCAGTGAATGGATAACAAAAGGGCTTCTTACTCTTTAATTTAATCTCTCAGGGTCATTTCTTCTCCCTGGTTTGTTGTAAACCTGGTGTGCTGTGGCCTCTTTTTTAATATTTCATTATTGTAGCTGAGAGTTAAAAGCCTCTTTTTTGAGTGACTGTTCAACTTTAAATCTTGCTCATGCCTTTGTAGATTAAACCAAAATGTATCCGCATGATCCGATCAGATCAAGTTCCTGACTAGTTTTTCTGTTAACATAATTACTGTAAACTGTGGTCTATTTGTAGAATGACTTAATTACTGAACCAAGTAAATGGGTTAAACCCAGTGAATGGATAACAAAAGGGCTTCTTACTCTTTAATTTAATCTCTCAGGGTCATTTCTTCTCCCTGGTTTGTTGTAAACCTGGTGTGCTGTGGCCTCTTTTTTAATATTTCATTATTGTAGCTGAGAGTTAAAAGCCTTAATAAAGCTTCTTTTTTTACCCTGCGAGAGCAGTATACCAATTCCATCAATGAACTTTGCATCTAAGTGTCCTTACAGATGCTATACGGTTATATAAAGACCTCAAACTGTTTAACTTTTTAAAAATGTAACTTTGTGAATGTGTGTAAACTAAATGTGTGTGCATTTTTGTATTGAAAAGGAGTAATGTGCCATACATTCCTACAGTCATATCTCTAAAGGGTCTTTTAAAAACAATCATACAGTTTATGATATTTTTTTTTCTTTTCATCTGTATAGCACACATACAGATTTGGGTCATAGGCATCATGTCTTCTCCACTCAGCAACAGCAGGGGTGGTGAATGGTGATGGTATAGGGCCGTATCTGGAGAAAAACAATAAAATGTAAGTGCCACCGTGCTATAAAATTGCAGGAGGGTGCAATTTCATTTATTGTGTCTAAACTTAACTTCGACAATTACATTCTTTTTTTTTTTTTTACGTCCACTCTCTTTTATGTGTTGGCATTTGGACGCTGACCCCATAAAACATTTGCAGTAAGTTAATAATTTTTCAACGTTTTTTCCTGTGAATTTAATAGACAACAGACAGATATTAAAGCTCTAAGAGACAGGTAAAAGTTTACTTTTTGTCACCCGGGATGCAGGAAAGAAAGAACTGAGGGTGGGAAGGGTGGTGTTTTGGAAAATGTGCAGGAACAATCTGGAATCTTAGCTCACTTTCTCAAATAACATCATCTCTACAACGTCTCGATTGGAATCTACACCATCTGCCCCACAGGATCCTACTTTTTTTCTTTACCACTTCATTCAAACTCACTTTGGTCAACATGTGCACACCAGAGCCCACCTGCCACATAAATGCCACCATCTGCACGGGCACGTCCTGCCTGGTGCCCCGTGATCCATTCAATGACATCCTCAACGTGGTGATGAGCACCACGCTTACCATCATGCTGGCCTTGGTCATGTTTTCAATGGGTTGCACTGTCGAAGCAAGAAAGCTCTGGGTGCACATCCGCAGGCCCTGGGGCATTTTCATCGGTTTCCTATGCCAGTTTGGTATCATGCCTTTCACAGCCTTTGCACTTTCATTGATTTTCAACGTGCTTCCAGTCCAGGCTATAGTCATCATCATCATGGGCTGTTGCCCTGGAGGTTCCAGCTCCAATGTTTTCTGCTACTGGCTCGATGGAGACATGGACCTAAGGTGAGACTATCAATCTGTTCACTTTTCATTGTCATTTTGTTGCTTATAACACTGAAGGCTTTCTAATTCCTAGAAATAAACTTTGTAAACACCAGCTCTTTTGAACATGAAGTCTGTCTTTTTTAAATGCAGTAGGGGCATATGTAGGTTTACTTTCATTGTTTTCATAAAATGTCTACTATGCTGAACTAGATTTTTTTTTATCTGCTTAATAAATTATATTTTTATATTTATAGATAATTTTATTGTTTATTATTTTAGAATAATAATACAAGTGTTGTGATTATAGTATATTTTAGAAAGTTTTTAAATACAGAAAATATTCAACTTTGTTTAATGCATTCTTATTGTTTTTTTTAGCATAACTAGACCCAAATTATTTAAACAGCATTTGCAAATTGATTCGATTTATCATAATCCAATGACGCAGGTTTATAAAGTTTATAGACAGAATGACGATTTTTAGACCACAACTAAACGCAGATTTTTGCTGCCCATAGCATCAGCATGACAGCATGTTCTTCAATTCTGGCTCTGGGAATGATGCCTCTTTGTCTGCTCATCTATACCTCAGTCTGGACTTCAGGCGATGCGATCCAGATCCCTTATGACAGCATCGGTAAGCCGGCCTCAAATGACCTAAACACAAGATTTTCCATTTTATGTATTTGTTTGAACTTGTATCTTAAATGTTGCTGATGATCATTCCAGGAATCACACTAGTGAGTTTACTTGTGCCTGTCGGTCTCGGGATTTTCACGAAACACAGGTGGCCCAAAGCAGCCAAAAAGATCCTCAAGGTAAGTTGTTTCTGTGTTTATATTGTAAACTCTCATGCATGCCATGCAGCTTCACACGTGTTTTGTTTTTCTATGTATAGGTGGGATCTGTGGTAGGAATCTTCCTCATCATCATCATTGCAGTCATAGGTGGTGTGCTTTATCAGTCCTCATGGACCATTGCTCCTTCGCTTTGGATCATCGGTACCATTTATCCATTTATTGGCTTTGGTCTGGGCTTTCTCCTGGCACGTTTTGTGGGACAACCTTGGTACAGGTAAAAATCTGTCAATTTTGTTTTCCCATAAGGCATTAGATGATTTGCTGGGACAGTTAGCACACATGCTCTGAGGGGTCAATAAATATGGCAGAATGTCTGAAGAAATATGTGATGGTTTATTTCTCATGAATGTTTTGCAGGTGCCGCACCATTGCTTTAGAAACAGGCATGCAGAACGCCCAGCTGGCCAGTACTATTACCCAGCTGTCCTTCAGTCCTGCGGAGCTTGAGCTCATGTTCGCTTTCCCCTTAATCTACAGTATATTCCAACTGGTTGTGGCTGTGATTGCAATTGGACGTAAGATGAAACACTTGTTCACTCTGCATTTACACAGTGGAAATATGATAGTTTGTTTTGGGAATCATAACATTCACTTTACTTTGAAAAGTTGATAACACATATCATGATGACCCTTGATGTATTTGTAGTTTATTGCACAATGAAGCGCTGTAGGCGGGGGGCATCGGCAGAGGAGGATGGGGAAGGCACACAGAGCACAGATGAGGATCAGGATAAGCAGAATTACGCCTTGGAGCATGGTAGCTTTCACTGTGAAGAGAATGGCAACACTGAGAATAAGGACAAAGGTACAAAGTTGTGAGCTAAACGTCATTCTGCTAGCCTGTGTGACCAGAGCGGTCCACATTGACCTTCTGGAGGCATGAACTTTGAACAAGCTATTCAAGCTCAACCAGAGAGTTTATCGTTAACTCAACCCCAGTCGAGACAAGTGGATGCACTTTCATATATTATAAAAACAAACCAAGTAAGCATTTAAACATGTTTTTACTTCAAGTCTGCCGACAGGTTTACTAGTACGAAGCTGTATTTTGTCTGTGAATTTGTGTGTTACGTTTTGTCTCTGGTCTGCAGCTTTCAATTACTATAACTTAGATTCAGCATATTTACTGAAATACACTGACTTTTCTCAAATGCCCTAAAAATGCTACTATTTCTACTACTAATAGTAGTTCTAATGCTACTCATGTAATAAAGAAGTGGCATATTTTATAATTTAAAAAAACAAAGTACATGTCTCAAGTAGGTTGAATGTAAGCTAATTTATTTAAAATGTTACTTTGTATGCACATAATTGTAATGGACCTTTAATGTTTTGCTTTTTAAATTATTTATGTATGATACATACTGGCTTTTCTGGCTTTTTTTTCTTCTTTTTTTTACCATGTTTGAATAATGGGACTATTCCATGTACAGGGGATTTCTTTTCTTTTACTTTTTTGTTTTTGTTTTTATAAAGCATTTTATTGCTTTAAATTACTTAACATCTAAACTAACATAAACATTGCTTACAAGCTTTCAAAAAAAATTCGATTGCCATTGCATGCAGTGTTGATATGATATTTATATGTAAAACACCATAAATAAAAAATGAATATTCAAAAATGTGATGTCAGATCTCGATCCTAGCAGACTTTAAAATTTCATGATTGCACTACACCAGAAACTAATTATATTGGGCATGTATTATACCCTGCATGAGGGTAATTGTTATGAGATTGCCCTTAAATCAGCTTATTTAAGTTTTCATTAACCTATGTCTAATAAAATAGATTACACTTGTCACAATGCAGTTTCTCAGAAATTGCTGGAATTTGATCAAATTCAGCTGAACAATAATCAGCTCAGAATGGCTAAACGAGCTTTCAGAACTTTAACCTGAAAGAGATAGTTCACCCAAAAATTTTAATTCTAAAATCATTCACTCACCCTCATGTTGTTCCAAACCTATATGACTTTTGTTCTTATGTGGAACACAGAAGAAGATATTTTGATGAAGAATGTTGATAACCAAACCGTTTTAGTGCCCATTGACTTCCATCATGACATTTTCTAAAATATTTTTTATGATCCACATGAGAAAGAAAGGACATGACATTGAATAAAATATGATGACAAAACTTCCCTTTAAGCCCTCATGTGTCTGTGTTAATACCACAGAGAAATAAGGCAACAGACTAAGTCACACATTCGTAGACAGAAAAGGGAAGTTTAGTTCTTATTCAAATGTTCCGACATGGTTAATTACCTCCAGTAAAAGACCGATTACGACAAGACGAGAAGAATCATAAAGCCGCTATAAAGATCACTGAGGAATTGAAGATGGTGCCTCTGTTCTCACTCTTCATACTGTTTCTGAAGGCTTCATGTGTGTGTTCTTGGCTTGCTGATAAATGCCTTTTCTACCGTGATGTGGAAGAGTTTCCTGTTGCCACAACCTGTGCTGGAAAAACAAACATTGCTGAGTGCCATCATGTCACTAACATTAAAGAAGACCTGCGTGGACTTCCATCAAACTTACTTAACCTCTGCATTCAAATGGAACGAGACTTTCATGGTGCCTTGGCTCCAGACTCATTCTCACGCTTTGCTTCTTTGGAATACCTCGAAATTGTTGGATGTTTATCAGAAATCCCTCCAGAGGCTTTTAATGAATTGACCAATGTAACTTCATTAACATTGTCTTTCTTGTCTACAGAAATCTGTTGCGAGGTAGCTCTTGATTTCAGTCGCCTTTCCTCACTTAACCATTTGTCTCTTTCACAGTATAGTATATCATCATTGGCACCAAATGTTTTTGAAATGATTCCTCAGTTGCAAGAATTACAGATACTCAATGTGTGTTTGAAGGATATATCTGAGGTCATTTGTCGACTAGCAAAAGCAAAATCACTGAAGCTGTTTAAGTTAGAGGAATATGAGCTAAATAGACTTCACTACCCAAACTGCTCGGTGTTCAACATCTCTGACGGTTACATATCTACTGAGTTCGAAATTGAAAAGGTGCATTTTTATCTAGGAATAGTAGAGCATGTAGACGAGGGAGCTTTAGAAGTTTTGGGAAATCTTTTTATCTTGTGCTTTGTTTCAAACACTGATTTCCTCAGAGATCTTTCTTTATTTGGAGTGCATAAAATTCATACTTTGAGAGTCAGAGTGGATGTACTTAACGTTGATGACTTGTGTAATGCAGCAAAGTTATATTCAGTTGAGTCTTTAGAAGTTCGTTATGAGACTATTAACTTGCCACCAACTCCTACTAATATCTCACATGGCTGTGAAGATATTAAGGGAATTGTGCTCAAAGGTAACATATATGTGTATAAGATTGTAAATGTCTTAGATGTATATTCAGTCTTTCAGATTTTCAGAAATCTCACTATTGTTAACATAATTAAGCATGTGCTCAGACCAAATGATTTCCTATCTCTTTGTTCCTCATTTCCACAGACAGTCAAAAGGCTTTCTTTTATGATACTAAGCACAAATAACATAGATAAGATCATTTCTCACCAGTTTTTGTGTTTTTCAGTTCTTGAAATTCTGGACTTATCCATCAGTAACATTTCTAACATAGAAGATTTTGCTTTCATTGGATTACACAAGTTAAAAGAGCTAAACCTCTGTAGCAATAAGTTATCTTACATTTATCAACACGCATTCAGTGGTTTATATGAACTTATGGTCTTAGATCTCCAAGGAAATCCTATAATTCATATTGAACCGGAATCATTTGGACATCTGATTAACCTTAGTGTGTTTCTGCTGGGAGATCTGAACTTCCCACCTGATGTGCCACTGATCACACTGCATTTTTCTGATATATTTGGAATTATTCCATATCATTTAAGTAACGTTTTCATTAGTTCAGGCTTGAGACCAATGCAACTTGTGATCAGGAACAATGCTACACTGGGTCAGGGTCTAAACTTCCACATTAAAGGTAAATATGTGACCGTTGAGGGCTGCAACAGTTCACTCTTGACATCTGTAGTCACCCTTAAGATAAATGCAGCATATATGAACTGTGGAAATGAATTTATTGGGAAATATGTTAGATCGGTCGTCAATCTGGAATTTGAGTCGATGTTCTCAGACAATATTGGAGACTTGGCTGTAATCAATCAGCTTGTTCATTTAAAAACCCTACATCTGGAAAACATTGAATTGACGAAGCAGCCAAACCTGGCCACAATGTTTCACAATCTGACAAAACTCCAGATGCTGATTCTGAAAAACTGCAGAATGTTCTTTCTGGATGGAAGTCTGACCAAAGACTTAAAAGCATTGACAGGTCTAGTTCTTATGCCAAAAGATAACGTCAATGTTCTTCAAAACTTGGTGGAACATCTCACTAGTTTGAAGTACCTCCATCTTCTGGGCTTGGGTCTGTACTGCAATTGTGATAATGCGTGGCTGGTCTCATGGGCGAAGGACAACAGGAAGGTGCAGGTTGCCATGTTCAGACCCACCATGAAAGAACTGCAGTGCTTGACTGACAATGGAATCGACCACCTTAACTTTGTTGATTATTCCAAAACCTGCTCATTTGATATCGAATTTGTGTTCTTCACCTCCACCACTGCCTTTTTGTGTATTTTTATTATTGTGGTACTGTCATATAAGTTTGCAGGCCAATATATTGCGCCATTCTATCACATCGCCAGTGGATGTTTACGAGAGGCTTTGCATGTGAACGGTAAACACCAGTACCGCTACGATGTTTTTGTGTCTTTCAGCGGTAAGGATGAGCACTGGGTCATGGAGGAACTTCTTCCAAACTTAGAGCAGCGGGGCCCTCCGTTTTTGCGTCTCTGCCTGCATAGTCGGGACTTTCAATTGGGACAAGACATTGTGGAAAACATCACGGACAGCATCTATGCAAGTCGCCGGACTCTTTGTCTCATCAGTCGCAACTACCTCGGTAGCAACTGGTGTTCTTTGGAGATGCAGCTGGCCACCTACCGGCTCCAAGTAGAACACAGGGACATTCTTATCCTGGTCTTCATAGAAATGATTCCGTCTCGCTTGCTATCCTCCCACCATAGATTGGCCCGGCTGGTAAAAACTAGAACTTATCTAGACTGGCCACGGGAGCCTGAGATGCATGAGGCATTCTGGGACAGGTTGTGGTGTAAACTGAGCTCTAATAAAACCAACTAAACTTCATTTCTGTAATCAATCGGCAAACTTAAAGCTGCATTTAAAATTATTGTTTCTTTTTTGTATTTAACTACATTTTTAAAACATTAATTTTAAATACATATACATGTAACAACCATTTTGTAATGTATTTACTTTTTATAATATGCTTTAATAAACCTGGTGTAACATCAAATATGATTCACTGTGCAAACATGGTAATATTTGCCTTTTGCAGTTAATCATTTCACATCTTTAAACATTTAGTGCAATTTAAACAGAAGTAAACTGATGTTTGGATTAACTACTGAAAACTCCCTTTTCTAAATAATCTCCACCACAGACTATTTCTGCATGTGCTGATCAGATCTGTACATTTGGTATTTTGGTGCATGTTTATGCAAATTAGTTTCAGTTCATGTTTTAAGATGCGTTTCCTGGAACACCTTCCTTAATGGGGTGGGCTAAAATGGCGTGTGAATGTATCATTTATATAGAGTACATTTGAAATTAATATGTTTTTATTTCCTTAGGAACTGTTGAATTCCATCCATGAATCCAATAATATTATAAGAACCATTTAGGGCAGGGATCACAAAACTCAGTCGTGGAGGGCCAGTGTCCTGCAGAGTTTAGCTCCAACACTAATCAAGCACACCTGAACCAGCTAACTAAGGTCTTACTAGGTATACTTGAAAATTCCAGGCAGGTGTGTTGAGGCAAGTTGGAGCTAAACTCTGCAGGCCCTCCAGGACCGAGTTTGGTGACCCCTGGTTTAGGTGAAGAAGAAAAACACTACTCAGAGTTCACACACTTCCTTTTGACAACAGGTTTATTCTCTCCGTTTATTTCTGTGGATTGTCACATTCCATTCAGCAGAGGTCACTGGGAAACAACATGTCATTTTTCAATCCAAAATTAAACATTTCTGTACAAAATTCAAATTGTGCAGGAAAAAAGTCACAGTGTATACAGTACATTATTTCATTTAACTCGATCTTTTTGATGTGGTCCGTTTTTGTGCCCAAGTTGTCAAAAAAAAAAAAAAAAACACTATGAACCCCATAAAATTCAAAGGATGCAAAAATATCATCAGTATCATCATTTAGCACATTTGGTTTCTGCAAGGCAGTCTGTGAGTCAATTTTTACCTCAGCTCCAAGTACCTTTTTGTTTCCTGACACCTCTTCTTTTGAGGATTGTTGCTGTGGCCTGCAGGTCCCGTGTTTCAATGAAAAAGTATTTAACTGGTCTAGAACACATCCTGGAAAATGTAGATCTGCATCTGGCAGTTCTGTAGCGTGCCATGAAGATTCCATGGTGCCATCGAGTTCTCCAAAGTGCAGTGAAGGAACTGAATCTTTTGAAACATCAATGCCTTTTGAACCTTTAACTTAAACTTCTTTAATCTCTTCTTCACCCCGAATTTGAAAATATATATAATATGATTAGATATTATATACACACCTGCTTAAATAACAATTTATGTTTTTAAGAATGTCTCATGAATGAAGCACAGATTTCAATTAGAGTATTTTTATGTACCTGACACCTTCAGCTTCCAGACATTCCATTCTCAGACACTTCAGGTTTAAGAAGGCCAGATGCGTATGCTCTTGATGAAACTTACAGCTTCGGCACCAGTGCATAATTTCCTTTAGATGGGCAGCCATATTTCTGAAAGAAGACACCTTCTTTAGTGACTTCAAGAACTTCATCTTTTGAATGACTGCAGCTTTGCTTGAGCTGTCCGCATTTCATCTGTGGCTCCAGAGACATCTTTGGGAAGAATGTATCAAAATAAACCAGTGACTGCATTTCTATGAAAATGTCAGCATATTATTTTTCTCCAAAATGTACTTGATCTGTTTGAAAGCTCATTTCCACCACATAAGAAAAAAAAAATCACGCTTTGGTAAGTCATAATTATGAAATGAAAATTCAAAATTATTACTTTTTTTTACTGAAAGCAGTAATTATGACATACTAAATCAGTGGTTCTTAATCCTGGTCCTGGGGACCTGACCCACAGCTCTGCACATTTTGCATGTCTCCCTTATTTAACACAACTGATTCATATCATCAGCTCATTAGGAGAGAACTCCATGAACTGAACTGAGTGTGTCAGATAATGCTGGGTACACACCACAAGATATTTGGGCTGATTTTGGGCCGATTTCTCCCCTTCCAACAATCCTAGGTAATGTCCCGATTATCTTGGTGGTTCTAAAGATTATCTTATCAGATTTTCCTGTGGTGTGAGGTGTGTTAAGAGTGACTGAATCTGCTCGGAAGAACGTCGGAGGCGCCCCGATCGCGAATCGTAAATATTCAGCATGTTAAATATTAACGATCAGAAATCCTGATGTGTGGGGGGAACATCGCGGCACACCACACACCAGGGGTGTGGACTCGAGTCACTTTGACTCAAGACTTGACTCGGACTCCAGTCCCAAATTTGATGACTTGCGACTTGACTCAAAATAATTAAAGAAGACTTGAGACTCGACATAGACTTTGACAGCAATGACTCAAGACTTGACTCGGACTTGAGCCCTGTGACTCGGAAAGACTTTATGATCAGATCAAAGTCGTTAGGCGCGTCCCTGCAGTGTGCTTGCGCTTGACTGGCAATAAGCCAGAGACTGCATTCAGGGAGCGCTGGATAGGCTAGTATAAATTACTGGAGTAATAGTATAACTTACGACAAAAGAACAGAGATAATAAAAATAACAAATTACATGATTCGTCTAGTAGCGATCTCCGCTTGTGAAAAGCGCTGCCCTGTAGACACATGGAGCGGGCATGAGAAACGAGATGCGCGGCCGCGATCACTTCACTGGTGCTCGCCTCATCATCAGTGTGACCGCTGCTGTTAAATATTCCTCACTTCTTCTGTTTGTCCGACACCGAGGTGCACCACGAGTGACGGATCCGCATCCCGCCACGACCCTCGCACTCGATGCCAACTCGACGTGCCTTCATTTAAATTTTTATTTGTAATAAACACCTCTCTGAGACCTGTTTTTGTCAGATCTCCACTGTTTTTGTTCGATCAGTTATATTTTAGTTGCATGTGCATTTTTTAAATTTATTTAAACCTCCATTAACCCTTAAATGCATGAATGTTTCGCCAATCACTATATTCGGGTCTGCGACCCGGACCTATATATACAGCACGGATGGATCTTTCTTTAACTGCTGCAAATGCAATAACAAAAAACTTTCTTGATATTTTAAAAACAATTACAGAAGAATAAAATGAAGCATATTTCGTTACC